GTCCTGTACGACCTCATGTCCGAGCTGCACGCCCAGCACGAGGAGCTTGAGGCCCGCCTGGCTGCCCTTGAAAGCCGCCTGGATGCACTGGGCATCTCCCTGCAGGCCCTGCCCGGCCTCATCGCCCAAGCCATACGCCCGCCCCCCCCACCCCTGCCTCCCCGACCTGGCCCCGGACCCCTGGACCAGGCAGCCCGGAGCCCCCCATGCCAGTGGCCACCCGTGGCCCCTTCAGACTGCGGGTGACAACCCCGCCCACCACCAGACCCCTCAATCTTGGCCATCGTGTGGCCGCCACCTCCACGCCACCCAGGAAGCCCTGTACAGTGGCGCCTCTTGGAGTTCAAGGAGCCGAAGCTGAGTTGGGCTGAGTGGACCAGGGCCCTCCCCACCCAGACTGTCTGGGCAAAAGACAGGGCCGGACCGCAGGCGAGGGCAGGGGTGGGCCACTGCCCGCTTCCTCCCTGATTGGAGCTGGGGGGGAGCCAGGAGCTTCCTTTGGTCCCCTGGCCCCCCCGACTCTCCCCAGGCCCCTGGTGGGCATGGAGCAACCAGGAGAGGGGTCCTTGCCAGTTCTGAATAAAGCAGGACCCACCCAGTTGCCTGTTTTGCATAACTATGGGAGCTCATGATCAGAACATGGGAGGTGACCGCCTGACTCCTGGGCTCAGAACAAATGTGGGGGTCTAGCAGAGCCCGTCCCATGACTATTCTAGCCTGGTAGCCCTCCAAGCCTGAGCTCAGTTGGGTACGCCTGAGGACATCAGCATCAGTCCCAACAGGCATTGACAGCCCTGGCCTGCAGGAGGCAGCAGATCGGGGAGACATCCTTCGCTTCCCATTCTAGCCGCCGACTTTGCTGGAGCACCCAGTGTGGGCCAAGCTCCAGGGGGACCATGGTCCAGTGGGGAAGGTGACATGAGTGAGGAGGACCATTCCATCTTCGCTGGACATATGTTGAACACTTGCCCTATACAGGGGATTTAATGTAAATTACCACAGTTCTTCACCAAAACCTGACTAGGGTAGGATGGGGAAACTGAGGGTCAGAGAAGTGAAGCCACCTGCCTGGGCTCCAGAACAGGGTGGGGGTTGGAGGGGAGGCAGGATTCAAACTCCGGCCCATAGGCCAAAGTGAAGAACCTGGACTTGGGGGAGGGTATAGCGTGATTCCGGGCTTAGAGTGGCCTCAGGGCAGGCTGGAGGGGAAGGTTCTGGACACCAGTAGAATCAGAAAGGTCCCTCCAGGCCTTGGGCTCAGTGTGCTGGGGTGAGGCAGGGATGGCAGGCCCTTGGCAGCCGCTGGGCTCCGGGCACAGCAGAGAGATAGAAGCCTGGCTCCTGGGGAGGCTAGTCGGGACCCGGTTGAGAGCCTCAGGCCCTGGCAGCCTCTGATAAAGCCATTAGCCACCTAGTTCAGGTGATAACTTGGGCGCAAGACCCAGAAGACTGGGGAGGTGCCAGTGGGCTCCAGACCTGCGTTGGGAGTCCTGACTGCCACCGCTGGGTGCTTCTGGGCAGAGGCTGCCCCCTATGAGAGCCTCAGTTTTCCCATCTGTAAGATCTGATGAGGAGAACAGGGCACAGTGCCCACCTTCGGGGAGCACCTAGTCTGATGGAGGACGAGGCACAAAAAAACATAGCAGTCACAAACAGCGACCAGAGCCATAAAGAAAGAAACAAGACCAGAGTGTGATTAGGGGACTCTGAGGAGGTGACATTTGGGCATGGGGGTGGGGATGGGGAGATGGGAGAGCCCATGTAGGGAAGGGCGTTCCTAGCAGGGGAACTGTCCGTGCAAAAGCCAAGAGGCAGGCCTTGAGCTTGGTGTGTGTCGAGAACAGCCATGGAGACCAGAGGGTAAGGCCGGGGCGGTGCCGGGTGGGGGACACATGAAGCCACCAGATAGCCAGCTGGCTGCTCTGCTCGGGGCCAGCCACATCCACCTCTGACTCAACAGCACCGACCCTACAAAAACAGGGCCCGCCCCGCTCTGGGGGGCCGTGGGGGGAGGGGGGGCAAAGTCAACAGCGCGGGCACGCGGACGGCACGTCCCCGGCGGCCGGGGCGCGTCACGGGGGCGGACGCCGAGGACCAGGAAGTCGGCGGCCAACGCGCCGGCCGGGAGCCCCGGGCGCCGGCCGGAGTTCGCGGGGGGCCGGAGGGAGCTCGGGGGCGCCCGGGGCCGCGAGGAAGGGCGCCGAGCCGCCGGAGGGCCGCCGACACGCCCAGCCGCGGCCCGGGGGACGCCTTCCCCGCCGTGCGCCCAGGCCTGCGCCATGCGCCCGGGGGGCGTGCGCAGCTTCGCGCTGGAGCTGGCGCGGGGCCCCGGCGGCGCGTACCGCGGCGGGGAGCGGCTGTGCGGCCGGGTGCTGCTGGAGGCGGCGGCGCCGCTGCGGGTGAGAGCGCTCGAGGTGGCGGCACGCGGCGGGGCGGCGACGCACTGGCTCGAGGGCCGAAGCGTGGGTGTCAACGCGGTGTCCAGCGACTACGCGGCTGCCGAGACGTACTTGCGGCGGCGGCAGCTGCTGCTCCGAGGTGAGCCGCTCGCTCCGCACCGCCCCCCCCTCGCCAGCCAGGATCCCCCCGGGGCCCTCTCCCCAGGTCTGGGCGCTCCTCCCCAGTGCCCTGAGAGTTTCGACCTAGAGGCCCTGTGGCCGGGTGACCCTTCTTAAGAAGTGGAGACCTCCTCCCCAGGGTCTGGACCCTCTCGCCGGGACACACACCCTCCTACCCCCCGCCCCCAACCAACCCCTCTTTCCCAGGAGCCCCTCTCAGGGTCTGGGCGCCCCACCCTTTCCAAAGCCGGGAAGGCCTCCAGGTAAAGGCTATGCGGCAGGACCCCCCACTCTCCGGAGTCTGGGGAACCCCTGGGTAGAGTCGGGACATCCTCCTCTCTGGACCCAAGGATCCCCCTTTAACTCCAGGCCTGGGGTCCCTGATTTCCCAAAGAAGACCCCTACCTCACGTTCTACCCGTGCTTCCTCCCTCAGTTTACCCCTAGTGCTTGCAGAAATGAGTTCAGACCTTGGGGGGGGTGGAGTTCTGGTGGTGTTTGCAGGTAGGTTTGCATCCCCGAGAGGGAGGAGACGTGGGGTGGGGTCAGATCAGGCTGAGAGGGTCCCCATCTGTCTCCCAGCTCTGAACTTCAGTCCCTCACACTCAGGCCACACAGCCGGTCAGGAGCAGGCCAGGGGTGAGTCTGTGCCTCAGCACTGAGCTGTGTTTGCTGTGGAGGATGTTGGCTCCTGGGGTTGCCTTGCCACCCCCTCAGCTAAGCCAGACCTCACTATACTCTTCTGTAAAATGAGCACAGGCAGGGCTGTACACAGTAGATCCTTTGCCCACAGCCTTTCAGCCTTTGCGCCTTTGCCCCACAGCCCCAGATGTGGGGACTGTCCCCTTACTAGCTGTGGAAACCCAGGCCTAGAGGGCCCTAGGGCGGGACAGGAAGAGGCCCCGGAGGCACTTCCTTTCCCCTGAGACTTAAGGGAAATTGGTCCCACACCTGGTCCCACTCAACCAGCTGCTTCATTAAGACACTGGGGTGAAGCTTGCAAAACTGCTGTGTAACCTCGAGTGAGGCCCTGCCCCTCTTTGGGCCTCTGGGGACCCATCTGTGAAAAGGACTCACCACATCCTCTACCTCCTCCTGGGCTTACAGCCTCCAGGGCTCCACTTGGCCCTGGGAGAAGGTACTAGCCCTTCATTTCAATCCGAGTCCCCTCATCCATGCAGCCCCCCAAGCTGATCGCTGTGTCTACAGCCCCTTAGGTACTGCTCTGACCCAATGCCCCTATGGTCACTCTGCCTTCAGGGGACCATGTCCGGTTATGACTGCCCCCCACTGGGAGTTCCGAGGCCTCAGGAGGTTCCCAGGGCCCTCTGAAGGCACCTCAACGGTGGCCTCCAGGGTAGGGGGTAGGTTCGAGCAGCTACGCATCTCACTGCCACCAGAGGGCGCTGGCGCCCTGCAGACCACGACCAGGAAACCCTTTACTCAGAAACGCTCTTTGAGGTTCTTCTGTGAGTAAACTGAGGCCCAGAGAGGAGTCATACCATCTCAGGGGTACACTGCAGCCCTGGCCCCTGGGGTTCCTGGGACGTCCCCTCCACTTGGCTCTATCTGTGAGCGGACTGGGGCTGGGGGGGGGTGGTGCCAGGAGCGGGCCCAAGGGCTACGCCTAGGGGGCTCGTAGGAGTTTGCTGGCGGCCCCAAGTTGCGACAGGAACATCGGGTGGTGGGTAAAGCTTGGGCAAAAGCGCTGAGGCGTGATCAAGTGGTGACATGTGGGGAGTGGGTTGATGACCTGGGAGCGAGGCTGTCTGGAAGGGGAAGGTGTCCGAGCATAGGCTACACCGCGATTCATGCACAGTACTCTGAGGTCGGGGCCGATTTTCTTCCAGCTCTACAAATGACAAACGTGGAAACTTAGGTTCAAGAGGTGGTCACTAGCCCGGGGTCATCCAGCTGAGCGGGATTCGAATCACAAGACGCGGGGGGGCAGCAGGTGCCCAAGCAGAGGGAGGCCCTACCCACTTCCTCCTCCTTCCCCCATCGCTCAGAGTGGGGAACTGACGCCCAGGCTAGTCCTAGGCTCTCAAGGCCCCGGTCGGGGCTAGGCCATCATTCCACAGCCTTCCCGCGCGGGGCTGGACATGCCTCGAGGCAGATCTGCAAGTGGTGGCCAGTTGATGATTAAACCTAGTGGCAGAGGGCTCTTGCTGGGTGACCTCAAGCCCGGGGCCCAACTCCGACCCTAAGTTTCCCCCGCTTTACCCCCAGGGTCCGCTAGAGACCGGCTCGGGCCCGCGATGCTTCAGGTTCACGCAGGGGTACACGAGGGTAGAGGGCAGCTGCAGAGTTTGTTATTTCGTTCCACGCCTGGGCGGAGCCACGCCCCTCGCCGCGCCATTGGTGTATTCCTTTCTGAGGGTGGGGCCCGCGTGTCGCCCCGCCCCGCCCGCCGCATAAAGGCAGCGCCGGCGCAGGGCGCACAGGAATTTCTGACCTGGTCGGCAAGTGCGCCTGCGCACCCCGGGCAGGTTCGCGTTCTGGGGCTCTAGCCTCCGCACCTCGCGCCGCCGCGTCGCGGGTTCGAGGCCAGCGTCTGTGCGTCGCGGGTTCGCATCCCGGGCGCGATGCTGTTCGACAAGGTGAAGGCGTTCGCGGTGCAGCTGGATGGCGCGAGCGCGGGCGCCGAGCCGGTTTTCAGCGGCGGGCAGGCCGTTGCCGGCCGGGTGCTGCTGGAGCTGGCGGGCCCGGCGCGCGTGGGCGCCCTGAAGCTGCGCGCGCGGGGCCGCGCCCATGTGCACTGGACCGAGTCGCGCAGCGCGGGCTCGAGCACCGCGTACACGCAGAGCTACAGCGAACGTGTGGAGGTCGTGAGCCACCGTGCGACGCTACTCGCTCCAGGTACCGGCCGGCCACCCCGACGCGGCGCACGTGCTGCGCGCTCCTGGAACTCGGAGCGGCCGCTGAGCCTCCCCCTCTTGCTCCTACCTGCAGACACGGGAGAAACCACGACGCTGCCTCCCGGGCGCCACGAGTTCCCATTCAGCTTCCAGCTGCCTCCGTAAGTCCGGCATCTGGGGCGCGGGATTGTAGGGGAATCCCTAAGCCCGCGGCTCCTTTCCGGTTTAGGTCTCCATTGCTTGGTTTCTGGGGACCCTCGGGACCCCAAGACTGCCCCCCCCGGGGGGGGGCCTTCAGTGTCTCTGTCTCTCATTCTCCTAAGTCTCTGGGACCATCCCCCACCTGCGTGTCTGTGTTTTTCTCCCCCTTGAAGTCCCTTCCTTCTACCCCGCAGAACACTGGTGACATCATTCGAGGGTAAGCATGGCAGTGTCCGATACTGCATCAAGGCCACCCTGCACCGGCCCTGGGTCCCTGCCCGCCGGGCAAGGAAGGTATTTACTGTCATTGAGCCGGTGGACATCAACACGCCTGCCCTGCTGGTGAGTGGCTGCTCCCAGAGCAGATGGGTTGAGAGAGCTTTGTAGGTGGGGGCTTGGCTGCTGGGTGACCCCAACAGGTTCCTTACCCCTTTACTTCCTGCACAAAGTGGGAATCACAGCTGGGCCCTGGCAAGGCGGGGGGGCAGGCATGGGAATGCTTTTGGAGTCCGGCGGGGCTGGGTGCAGATCCTGCCTGTACCAGTTTGGGTGTGTGGCTCTGGGCAAGTGTCTCACTCTCTCTGAGCCTCAAAGGCCTCATTTGTGAAATAGGGGACAGCCAGGGTTTGTGAATATACTGGCTTTTTGAGGACTTATTACACGCTAAGTAATTAATTTGTTTACTTTATCTTCAGCTTTATAAAATCGGTTCCGTCCGTGGATTTATTTTCACAGACGGTACCTGGTAGTTAAGAAAAAACCAGGAACCCTGCCCCCCGAATCCTCCCTCAGCTGGGGGTGGTTTGGAAGCTCCAAGGGATCTGTGGTTTGCACAAAGTAACCTGTTTGCATGCCTTTCCTCCACCCCCCAGGCCCCTCAGGCTGGAGCTCTGGAGAAGGTCGCCCGATCCTGGTACAGCAGCCGTGGTCTCGTCTCCCTCTCCGCCAAAATCGACCGAAAGGGTTACACACCAGGTACCAGGCAGGCGGGGCTGGATGGGGAAGAGGGCCGACCTCAAGGCTGCAGACGGGGAATCTGATGCCCCCCTGCCCCCCACCACAGGTGAGGTCATCCCAGTCTTTGCGGAGATCGACAATGGCTCCACGCGCCCAGTGCTTCCTCGGGCAGCCGTGGTCCAGACGCAGACCTTCATGGCTCGAGGTGCCCGCAAGCAGAAACGAGCAGTGGTGGCCAGTCTCGCGGGCGAGCCTGTGGGCCCCGGGCGGCGGGCGCTGTGGCAGGGCCGGGCGCTGCGGATCCCCCCTGTGGGTCCTTCCATCCTGCACTGCCGGGTGCTGCACGTGGACTACTCCCTCAAGGTAGAGTCTCCCGTTGGTCCGAGGAGGGCAGGGGTGGCTGCATCTGCCCGGTCCCCCCAAGGCTGCCTGGGCGCTCTCCCTCATGGCTCATTCCCCCCAGGTCTGCGTGGACATCCCCGGCACGTCCAAGTTGCTGCTGGAGCTGCCGCTGGTCATTGGCACCATTCCCCTGCACCCTTTCGGGAGCCGCTCATCCAGCGTGGGCAGCCATGCCAGCTTCCTGCTGGACTGGGGGCTGGGAGCCCTGCCAGAGCGGCCTGAGGGTGAGCTCCCCGTCCTGCTGCAGGGGCTGGGTGGGCAGAGAGGCGGCTGCTAGGTGGACTCTTCCTCCCCCCAGCCTCAGCGCCCCTATCTGTAAAAGGGCACGGTGGTGATTACATAGGCAGCCACAGGTCCTCCCAGAATCTCGGCCTGAGGGCCTGCAGCCCCAGAATCAGCCCAAGCTGGCTCCTGACCATGGTCCCCGATTCTGAGGCTCCTCTTCTCTACCAGCCTCACCCACCCCATCTCTCTCACTTGCAGCCCCTCCCGAGTACTCAGAAGTGGTGGCAGACGGGGAGGTGGCAGCCGCGGGGCAGAGCCCCTTTCCACCACTGCAGGACACCGACGTGAGCCTCGAAGGCCCCTTCTTGGCCTATATCCAGGAATTCCGCTACCGCCCGCCACCCCTGTACTCCGAGGTGAGTGTGGGGGTCCCAGAAGCCCCCATGGCTCCCCAAGCCCTGGGAGCCCAGGTGGGGGTGGGACTCAGGTGAGTTTGGGGCCTGAGCCCGCCTTGCACCCCAGTCTGCTCCACACGTTGCCCCCCGCCTTGGCTGAGTGTGGGAGTTAGAGATAAGCAGGGCAGCGGAGGGGTGTTTCTGAGCCTCTGGTGCCCCCCTGAGACTGGTTGGGACTGTTTCTCTCAGGAGGATCCAAACCCACCCTCAGAGGCCATGAGGCCACGCTGCATGACCTGCTGAGCAGCGAGGCAATACCTCGAGGGATGAGGTCGCACGTGTGCTTCCGGCTGCCGTGGACATGGGGAAGGGCTGGGTGAAGAACCACCCGACCTGACTGCGTTGAAGTTGGGGACTCCGAGTCTCAGAATGGGGCATGCCTTTCTCACATCACACAGGACAGAGGAAGAGCCAGTCTGGAATCTGATGTATCTGGACAGGTCCTCGTAAGGCATCAAATGCCCATAGTCAGATCCTGTCGGTCTGTGCTGGCCCGTGGACAGGGCTCGGATCCCCCAGGAGCCTCTAGTCTGGGAGAGAAATAGCCAGACATAAATACTTCCAGTCTCGTGGGACCAGAGGAAGAGCCCCAGGGCTGGGAGAGTCCCAACAGGAGCAGAGAAGGCTTCCCGGAGCAAAGGGCCTTCTAGCTGAGGCCTTGGCCTATGAATGAATGACGACAGCTCAGCAGGCAGACAAAGAAAGAGGAAGAAGAAGTCGGAGAAGGTCAGAGCTGAGTGATGTTTGGAGATCACCCCCTTTGGGGCTCAGAGGGCAAGTGCCTCAGTTGAGGCCACACGGCAAGGTCCAGCAGGCGAGAGGGCCCAGGAATGGGGCATTCAGGGATGCAGGTCATTGAAGCTTTTGTGGGACCTGTGGGTGGCAGGGGCATCTGCTCCAGCCTTTGAAAGCCAGAGAGAGATTGCTGGCCCAGGCTGGGACTGCCTGGGGGCTCCTCCAAGTACACCAGGACATGAGACCTCGTCTGCGTATTGTATAACCCAGGAAACCCAGTTCAGGACATTGAGCCAGGCCCTGGGGACAGAGGTCAGCCTGGGGTAACAGCAGGCCCAGTGCAGCTCTGGAAACCTGGAGGGAGGGAGGGACAAAGTATGAGGGGGCAGCCGGACCAGCCCCCTGGGTTGTAGAGTCTCAGCCCTGGCTGGGGCAGGGCCCCTGCCTGGGACTCAACATTTCTGATCAGCCTTAAGTTGTTCTCTTTTTTACAGTCGTTGGTTTTTTGTTTTTGTTTTTTTAAAATAAAAGTGTGGGGAAAGAGATGGCTTATTGGTTTATTTCCCACAGCTGCCAAAGAAGCTGAGTGGCTTTGACCTCCATCTTGGGTCAGAATCTCCGGGATTGAAGGCCAGGCCAAGGAGGGGTTGAGGGGCCCATTGTCCAGCAGGAGAAACTGAGGCTCAGGGATACATAGGGAGGCTGAGCTCAGGTTGGAGCTGGACCCCATTTCCCCTTCCCTAGTGTAGTCGCGGAGGCTTGGAAGCATGAATTGGGGGAAGGCTTTTGTTTTCAAGACACAGTTCATATACTGGGAAATGAGCAGGGTTTTTTTTTTTAATGTTTTATTTATTTATTCATGAGAGTCAGAGAGAGAGAGAGAGGCAGAGGTAGAGGAAGAGGGAGAAGCAGGTCCCCCGCTGAGCAGGGAGCCCGATGCGGGACTCGATCCCAGGACCCTGGGAACCCGACCTGAGCTGAAGGCAGATGCTTAACCATCTGAGCCACCCAGGCGCCCCTTGTTTTGTTTTTTAAAGATGTTATTTGACAGAGAGAGAGAGAGACACAGTGAGAGAGAGAACACAAGCAGAGGGAGTGGGAGAGGGAGAAGCAGGCTTCCCACTGAGCAGGGAGCCCGATGTGGGGCTCGATCCCAGGACCCAGGGATCATGACCTGAGCTGAAGGCAGATGCTTAACAACTGAGCCACCCAGGCGCCCCAGGAAATGAGCCGTTTTAAAGTGTACAGTTAGGTGGCATTTCGTGCACTGACAGTGTCAGGCACCTGTCACCTCATCTAGCTCCAGGACATTCCCATCACCCCAGAGGAGGCCCCGTTCCCAGGAGCGGTCACTGCCCACCCCCTTCCCTCACTCCCAGCACCCACTGATCTGGGGATTTGCCTGTTTTGGACATTTCCTATACATGGGATCACGTTCTGTGTGGCCTCACTCGTGTTTGGCTTCCTACTCAGCTTAAATTTCCCTGGTAAGTTTCATCCACATGGTAGCCTGCGTCAATGTTTCATTCCTAATTTTTATGGCCAAATAATATCCTGTTGTGTGGATGGACTCCCATTTTGATTGTCCCTTTACCCCCTGATAGACGTTTGGGTCATTCCCACCTTTCGGGGATTGTGGATAGGGCTGCCGTGGACATGGGTGTCCAAGGATTTGTTTGAATACGCACTGGGCTTCCAGGCAGCCCTGGCAGCACGCAGGTTGAGTCTTCGGGCGTTGAAAGTAGGGAAAGTGAGTCCGACAGAGTGAGGTGACTCGTGCAGAGTCCGGAGTCTCCACTCAGAACCCCCACGCCTCAGCGATTAGCGGCACCCGTGGTGGTGGTCCCTGCAGGGTCTGCGCTCAGGCCCCGCCCCAGGCCCGAGGCCCCGCCCTCAGCAGGGCGGGGCCAAGTTAGAACCCCATCCAATAGCTCTAGCTGGGCTCAGTTTGCCCAAGGCAGTGAAAATTCAGTGGCAGTCTGGGATGACCAGTGGCAGGGCTGAGGGGCAGAGAAGAGGATGCAGGGGGGGGGGGGGGGCGGGGTTGGACACTGGCAGGTATGACCACCAGCAAGTCGCTTGCTTCTGAGCCAGTTTCCTCATCTGGGATGCTGGGGCACCTCTCCACCACCGCCTCAACTGCCTCCCATCTCTGGTCTGAATTTGGGTCCTGATTTCCACCTGCTTCTGGTCCTGGGGTTTACCCAGCCCTCCCTGTCCAGCAGCATCTGCCCTGGGCAGTTGGCCTGGCATCAAGTTCGGAGCCTGTCAGACTGGGGGTTCCTTTGGGCCCAGCAGAGGGGAGATATACCCACACAGCACAGTCACCCCAGACCCCCTCTTGGTCTCAGAAAGAGGTAAGATCCCTGTCGCCCTGGGTGTGCAGGACACAAGATCCCAGCTTCCAGATCCATGTTCCCAAACGGAGAAGAGTCTAAGCTGTCTATTGCAACAACAGATGGGGGTACAGTTTTACAAAAGGCTTCCCCCAGCAGGCTTGGAGGGATAAGCCACCTCGTGTCCCCAGGACTCCTGGGTCTGCAACTATCTGGAACCTGATCCCTAGAAGAGGTGGATTATCTGGTTCGGATAAATAAAAACCAGAATGGAGCCATCTTGGGTCGTCCAGAATTCAGGGAACTCCCCGAACAGAGTGAGGCCCACAGGGTAGAGAGGAGGGTGGCCAAATATTCTCCTAAAATAAAATCCCACCCCTCTCTAGGCCCCTAAGATCTCTCACCCACCTCTCCTTCCAGCTTCCCCTGGATCTTGACTGCCACTCAGATATCCCAAGCTGGGTCCTACCTCAGGACCTTTGTACATGTGGCTCCCTCTGCTGAAAGACTCTTCTCTAGGACTGACTCTTCTCTACCTCCTAGCCTCATCTTTTCAGGAAACACCCCAACCTCCTGGCTAAAGGTGCCCCTCCCTGTTACTCCTTCTCCCATCCCCCGGTCCTATTGTCTTCATAGCCCTGATCACTCTCTGAAATTTTTTATTTAGATATTCACTTGTTTGAAGCTTTGAGGGCAGGGCTGGGGCAGGGCTGGGGCAGGGCTGGCCCCAGCACACAGCAGGCATGAGAGGCATGAAGGGGGGTTGTTGACTGGAGGAGACCCCCCCAGACTCTGGTGTGGACCAAGATTCTGATGGGGGTGGGGGTGTTACCGCCTTACATTGTTCCCAGGACCCCCTAGAATCAGAACTTGTCACCCGTTCGGAGAGTCAAACACCAGGTCTCTCTCTATCTCTGCCTCACCCTCCTTATCCCCCCACTCTGCCTCTCCATGTTGTTTTCACACTGTCCCTTTTGCTCGATGTTTCTGTCACTCTCTCATTGTCTCTGTCTCCCCCGTCTCTGTCCCTGGCTCACCATCTCTGCATCTCTCTCTCTCACTCATTACTTCGTCTCTGTCTCTTGATTATCTCTCAGTCTCTCTCAGTCTCTGACTCCTTGAGCATCTCTGTCTCCTCCCCTGGCCTGGCCAGGCCCCTGGGCCATGGGGTGACAGGCAGGCAGGGTGCACTCCGGTTGTTTTCCGCCCTTGCTGGCAGGGGGCCCAGCTGGGATGCTGTTCAGGAATCCTCCAGCTGCCCGGCTCCAGCCACCAGGCACAGCCGCTGGCCTCTCCTCCCAGCACATTCTGTCCCGAGCAGGGAGCCCTGGGGGTGGGTGGGGTGGGAGTGGAGGGTTCCTGTCCGGCTCCAGTTACAGGACAGCCCGTCCTGGTGGCCTTGCTCCCCACCACTGCTGCCCTCTGATGCCTCCCCTCCCGAATTTGGGCTTAGATCTTCCTGAATGGGGCCCCTCTGCCAGCTCATCCCTACCTCAGGGGCTTTGCACCTGCTGTGCCTTCTACCTGGAGCTCCCTCTCCCCAGGTATGCCCAGGACCTTCTCCCTGGCAGGCCTCAGATCACAAATCACCTCCTCAGGACGTCCTCCCTGTCTCTGGGCCAGAACGCCCCGCCATTCCCCTTCTCCTGTCCTGATGCCTTTTGCTTCCTGATCTTTCCCCTTCCTCGGAGTTCTATATTTACTTGTTTGTTGGCAGGGTGTCTGTTACCCCAGAGCCCTGCTGTATCCCCAGCACTGGGCACGCACTAGGTGCTCAGTGAATATTTTAGAGTTCATACCATTTCATCCCAAAGCTCAGCTCTGCCTTAGCCACCCAGGCTCCCACGCACAGCTCCCATCCCTTCCAACGGCTGACCAACCCCCGGCCCTGCCCCCCTCCTAACCCTGCGGCCCCTGCCGTCCCCTCCACACACCTCCTGCCGTGGTCCCCTGCGCCCCCAACACACCAGCCATATCCCAGCCCTCCCATCTGTTCCCAGAGGGTTCCCTCCCCTAGATGCACCTTTTCCGGTGAGGGGCTTGGTCTCTCTGTCTTTTAGGCCCACCGGGCTCCACACGGGGGCTGCTATGACGCGCGCGCACACACAAACACACACACACACGGAGACACAGAAATGGGCCTGCGAACTCGGGGGCACACAGCCTAGACCTCGATGAGCATGGACCCACATGCACGTGCGTGCACACGCGCGTAAAGCTGGCCAACAGGTGCAACAGTACTGACCACGCTGGGCGCCCGCGGCCCTGGGTGAGGGCTTGCAGGGTGTTCACGTG